AATAAAGCGAACAGGATGCATGAAAAATTTAAATGTTGGGTCTATTTGAGTAAAAGACAAAACCTTCTGCATTCTCTGTCCTAGAGTTCTGAAGAGCTCCTTCTAGACTATTTTCAGCAAAACACCCTATAGCTTCGAAATACCACTCATATATAGTGGAAGTATCAAGAAATAATTCTCTCTTAGTCCGATCATTGTGTTAAGGCAGACAGTTGTTAGCAATTAGCAATCCGAAAGTGATATCCTTTAAGAAGTCATCTATTGAAGTGTACCAAGAGCGTGTTCTACGTCTGTGACTCACATCTACGATAGTCGAACCGGAGTATGATTCGGAAATGCACGAACGTCAAAAGACTGCTTGCATTGAACCCACTGTGAACCTTTCGTGTCACATACTGCTACTTCAGCGGTCGCATTTAACGTCTAAGGAGAGCTGTGTGGAAACATGTAACTAAGTGTCTTCCATTCTCAGTGATGAGAAGTGAATACAGAACCACGGAATACTTAATTTGTGAGCACCTTGTATCAAGTCGTTTCTCGTCCTTAGATTTGTCTTTCAAAAGTGATCTGCACGGCTGAATCCAACCACCATATGTTGAAATCTACTATGCATAGCTGAAGTGTTGGTCATACATGAAGCAAAACCTAAAATATATATCCGAAATATGTTTTTTCAAAACCGATCCGCTACATTACACTTGTACATGCGCTTAAATCCCTAAATGGCCATAAAACTTGGGCTATGAGCAGAGTAGAAGCACTTAACATGCAGCTGTCGTCTTATAGCATAACACTGCTTCCAGCCTAGACAAGGGGCTAAATTTATTCACTGTGTTGAACCTTCCTAGACTATACGTCTGCTTTTGACTCGGTCCCTAGGGACATCTTATTAAATAAACTTGCTGCAAGTCAAACAGAATGTTGGCCTGTCAACTGGTTACATTCCTATTTCTCAGAAAGAAAGCAGTACACCGTGTATGAAGACAAGTCTTCCACTTCATTGCCTACTGAGGCTGGTGTCCCTCAAGGCGCTGTCCTTTCTCCTTTTCTTTTTTACTTTCTTCCCACATGAATTGATTCAATCTGATGAAATAAACTTTATGAAGTACGCTGATGAGTTTACAGCTTCATTGTCTGTTGACTCCCAGCTAGATTGTTCCAAAATAAATAGCTTTCTGTCTGGAGTCGGTAAATGGTCTCAATCCTTCAAAATGTCAAACTGTTAATTTCAGCTTAAGATGTAAAAGGCAGTTAAGAGAAGTCATCGATTCTCATGACAGTCGTAAGATTGACGACAATGATATAGGAATTGAATCAGAAGTTAAGTATGCTGGACTTATTCTCTCTTCTGATATCTCCTGGTCTTCCCATGTCTTAGTGATCTCCAGTAAAGTATTCCGCCTGACATTTTACATTAAGAATTCAGGGCACTCGGGTATAACTCAACCCAACCTCACTCTTACAGTTCATAAACGCTTGTATCCTACCTATTCCTCTTTATTGTTCACCCCTGCTTATTCTTTCCTGGTTTGCTTAAAACGGACTACGCCACAATTCGTAGAATTCTCAATATGGTCAGTAGGTTGTGTGGTGTCCCAGTGGACCACACAGTTAACCTCGTTGTCGATAGGCACTTGACTCCGTGCAATAAATTTTCTAGAGGGATTTTGTCTGACTTGGAGCATCCACTTCCCCTCAGGTTTCACCTGGCATCTATCTCCTCAGGTAGAACAAGAAGAAACTTCAGAAAACTGTATGCTCGCACGGCTAAGCATAGAAATTCTATGATACCACACTTGGCACGTATTTTATGTGATGAAAATAGTGTCAGGAAACAATTAACTAATCTTTTTTCATCTAGTAAATAAACAATTTCCTCCATCCATCCATCCATCCATCCTTATATACCTTCAAGTTTTCCCTTTTGATTATTTCTATTGTATTTATGGTCCTGTTGCTTCTTCGTTTGTTTTACTCTCATAATTGCAGACACCAACTTATCTCTATGACTCCTGTAATCTCTATTGTTCCCCTCACCATATCATGTAAAGAGAACATTATATTCAACATTTTTAAACGTGCTAGGATTTCTATACCGCATCAACAAATACTGTGTGAAACAAGCTCACGGGAAATTTCATTTGTATTGTTATTATTACCCTAGCTGTTATCATTATTATCACTATTTCCATTTTATATGCTGCATGTTTTTGACATTACTACTATTGTGAATGTGGAAGATTTTCTGTGTGATTAATTTTATTTCTAATTTGAGGAAATTAGATGCAATATTGTGTGATTAATGCTGAAAATTCCATTCCGTTTCACAACTACTGTTTTTGGAATAAAGAAAAACATTCTTATCATTATCATTATTATATTTCTAGAATACTACCACTACCTATTTTCTGGTTATTACGCAAAGTAATTTTAATAATTTAAGCTTTGACAGGGAATAATTCTGGATCATTCTCACCCACTTACTCTAAATAAACGAATGTACTTGATCACTTCGTTGAGAAGAAAATTGTATTCGGTGAATTGTCTTTGAATTTCTTTACGAGTAAATGGGTATTTTTGGTGGTTCCATATTTTCTCTTCATTTAGGCTGACTTAACCAACATAAAATTTCAAGAAACATGTTTACGTATACGTACTGTATGTACTTGCTCCTTTTTCTGGAAAATATCCTACCTTGTTGGCTTCATTGTAGGCCAAGGTAAACAAAGAGGTTGAACATACTTCTTCTGTATGCGAAGAGATGTTCTTCTGGTATTAATTGCAACTGCTTCAGCTACTGGTAGAAGACGTAGTCGAGCTCCTCTAGATAAATTACTAGGAACGCGGTAAGTGACTGAGAACGCTTGGTCAAGTTTTATCGGGTGTCCAGTATCTACCAAGTGGGCTAAGACTGCACTATTTGTGCATTTGGTTACTCCTTTACTCAACCATACAGGTACATGTCCACGCGCGCGCATGGATAGAGCCCTCTGAGTACGGCCAATGTAACTGGCCCCACATGAGCAGTTGAATTCATAGATGCACATTGATGAGGCCATCTTTGGTAATTTATCCTTTACTTGATGTGTGAGTACTGGTGCAGTTGAGAAGTTTAGTACCTACCAGTTTAGCAGCAGGAAATGTTCTATCTATTGCTCTATTGAGTCGACAATTTAGAATGTCAGCTGCAATTTCCCCTTTGTAACTTAACTTGAGATACAAACGTTTCTTGTCTACGGTATCCACCTTTACCCTGTCTGTAGGTATTGGCATACACATTTTTAGGAAGCTCTGTGGATATCCATTTTCTTGCAGTGTGAGTTTCAGTTTATGCATCTCTTCCCTAATGCATTCCTCTGAGCATATTCGTTTTATTCTGTAGCTAAGACACTTAACTAAGTTTCGCTTACGCTGAATCGGTGTGAAACTATGGAAATGGGTGTACTGACCCGTCCAAGTTTTCTTTCTAAATAATTTCCTTTGTAGATATCCGTCTGTCTTCGTGGTTAGTAGGACGTCTAGGAAAGGTAAACTGTTATTGTCTTCTTCTTCACATGTAAACTGGATAGTTGGGTGAACACTATTAACGACATTCAGAAGCTCTTGTTTATTAAGATTTCTATTACAAACGATAAACGTATCATCTACGCATCGACAGTAATAGTAAAGCCCTTTAATCGTGTCTTAGAGTGGACCATTTTCAGTCTCTGCCAGGAGAACATCCGTTAGTAAATCGCCCGGAGGTGATCCCATGGCTACCCCATCAACTTGTCTATAAAAACCATTATTGAACATAAACTGAACATTCATGGTGCATTTCAATAATAATTCTTTGACTTTTCGGGTGGGATTCCTACATCTACATCTATTTTTCTTTCTATCAGCTGGTCACTTATGTAGTTGACTGTTTCAAGCAGTGGGACGTTGGTGAATAATGATGATACATCCAGTGACATCATTTTCTTTCCCTTTACATTTAGGCTTTGGTAGTTTCCACAAAGCTGAATACGTCTTTCACACTGAATTTCACTAATTCGCGATGTAGCGGTTCTGGTGCCTTTACCAACCACTTTGCTGTGGAATGGTAAGGGGATTGGCACATATCTAAGATGGGACGTAGTGGTACTCCCAGCTTATGGACTTTCGGTAAGCCATAAAGTCTTGGTGTGTGCGTACCTGAGGATTTCAATTCGTCGAGTTTATCCTTGTTTCATCCTATCTCACACTTGTTCCACAATACACTTTCTGATATGATTCTAATTCGCATTTACTGGACATTTTTCGCTTAAATTAATGGATTTATAGTTGTAGATCCTGAAGAATGTTTTATTGGAAAAGATTGTTCGCTCTAAATATTTTCATCGGTTTTTCACTGGGAGTTATTCTGTCATCTCTTTGTGGCCATTTCATTGAACGTCAGACCATTTATCTGCTAATCGTATCCACTCACGCAAAGTTTGCTTTTCTTAGTTGTTGCGTTAGTCTGTGTTATTGTTCTTTTCTCATGAATGAGAATTGGGACGTAAACATTGACGTTAATTTTTGCGTCGGTGGCACAGTGGTTAGGACTCTCGCCGACCATGAACATGGTCCGGGGTTCGAGCCCACACCGGCGCACACCAGATATCTGCGGTCAGCCTGCGAAATTCGGGTTACCGATATCCACGCTGAAAATTCCATACTTGTACCAAAAATACGGTGTGGAATCAAGCTGCAATCAAAAATTAAAAAATTAAATTAAAAAAATTGCTGTCCAGCTATTTCGGCTAGGAGACAGCTCTCACCACAATACTGCTACTGCTACTACTACTATTACTGAGCTGATATGTAAGACGTGTATTCATTTGAACCAACTGATGACCCGATAACTGTTGACAAACACACACAATGTGTAGCTGTTCATTTGTTTAGTGTGTGGGTGTGTGCTCATTATGAAGCTTAACCAAGTTATCTGTTTCAGGGTGTATTAATTTATAACACTTAGTTGGATAATTCGTTTTGCCTCAAATTCTCTTATCCAATCCTCTTTCAAATCTATCCTCCAATGTAATAGAAGAAGACAGGTTGAATTTCCCAATGCTCATAACAGTCGATAACTGAGAATACTATAAAAATCAGATGACTAGTTCAACTGTCATTAAAACAGTTTCAGCACATCATTTTGGAATGATGATTAGTGGTTCGTAGAGAAGAGTGATGAAAAGGTTTTGAAACCTATAAAACAACAAAAAGTCTAAATAACACATTGATTCATTCACAAGTTAATACATGTGTCAGGGGAATCAATTTATCAGGAACGTGATTGGAATTATAGGCATAATTACTATATTCTCACATATTATTTCGGCTACTTTATGGATTACTTATTTACTGGGATGGCGCATCAACCGTAAATTGAAATATGCTACTCAAAATCAAAATTTAAACAATAATCCTCCCACTGGAAGACGACGAGAAGTACAACTAAATGAAAATGGAGTAAATGTCAGACAACCGAATGCAGATGTTATATCTCGACAGAAATTAATATGGCCCGTCTGTTCATTGAGAATGTCAACACAACTGATTATATTTTCAATGGAAATCACCTATATTTTAGGTTGTTGTACAGATTTAATGAGATTAATTTATCTTTCGATAACTGGTGATGATTTACGCTTATTGTTCAGTGAGTGGTCTTGTAGAATACAAATATTTCTTTCATTTACAACTTGTGATCTATCTGGATGGCATTTTGTCTTTTTATGCATTGAGCGCTGTTATATAACACTATTTCCCAGAAAATACTACAGTATGAGTCATTCGTCATTTGGACCAGCTTTATCTATGATTATATTTGCTTATACAATAAGCGTTGCTACAAATATTTTCTTATTAATACCTACTCAACATGTTTGCTATGGATTCTACGACAGTCCTACAGTGAATTCAATAAAATTTCTATTCACCCTAATCATGCCTGTATTGATAGCAACGATATCCACTATAGTCATGACAAATGTTCTCGTAAAGTGGAAAATAAAGAAAATGAAGTCAAGAACAACCGCACCTTCTTTTCTGAATAGTTCAACCAGAAATAAGACTGTGGATACCTCATCTACCTCAAATAAAAGTAGACCAACTCGTACTTCATTGACATCTGTCTCTTCAAGTAAACAAAAGAATAATCAATTGATTAGTAGTTTACGTCGTGGCTCTGGAAAATTAATTGTTTATGATACATCAGCTAGGATAACTGTAGCAAAAATGATGTTAATCTGTGCACTCTTATATCTTTACACCCTATTATCGTTGTTTGTATTCGGAAGAGTATATAGCGAATACTGTTGTTTTCTAACGGCTAGTCAAAATTGTAATTGGAATGACTATCTCTTTAATTTATTGTCTATTCAACATTGGACTACTCTATCACTTACTAGTTATGTTCTCATGTTTGGTGCAGTCACCATACGACAAGATATACACACTATGCTATTATTTATATGGTTTAAATTTTTCAAAAAATCTCAGTAATTCACCAGATTTCATGATTATTCCGATTGCATTCAGTGTGTACATTTTTGATAACAACACTTCACATATACATGTATATATATATATATATATGTGTGTGTGTGTATGTGTGTTCACCATACTAGAATCTGAGCACCAAAGTGGGTATTTTTAAATTCTTCCTCATTATGCATAAATAGGATTGTAGTAGAGCGTCTGTTCCGTTATAGCCTACTTACTTACTTACTTATTTGTTTGTTGTCAATATCAGTATGTCCTTTAACAAATTTGCAAGTAGAATGAATTATTTTCATTCCATATTTTGGTAAGTCTCAATGTACTCAGATTTAGATGTCAAGATTTAATTTAGACAGAGTGTTTATTACCTCAAGTGTTGTATTTTTGTGAAGAAATTTATGTGTTTCCACTATAACTGCTAATTGCCATTTATCTTCATTTGATGTTACTCATCATATTTTTGATATGCCGCCCCCACCCAGTTTTTATAAATCTCACGTTTTGATCACGTTAATGTCTACTTCACTGTAAATATTTTATTCACAAATATCACTGAAAGTTTTGTTAATACAGATTCAACAATATTTGAAATATTTCTAACATAACACTAATTAACCTCTTTAATTATTCAGTTGAGTTCAAGAATGAATGAATGAATGAATGATTTAGTGCACAAGTCAGTTACAGTAAGTGGTCCATATTCATACTTAGTTAGCGTTTAAAGGGATTCAGTTGACTTTACCACATAGTTTCTGCGAGTCTTCAATAGCACTGAATCGTAAAGGGGATTGAGCCGAGGTAGAAGGCACGCACGTTCGTCATTTGAGTCAAATAATAGAAGACACGTTCAGCAAAGAGCTACTCTTTACTTCGATTCCATTTTCAACCTGTACATCTGCGTATAATATACATAAATTTTTTTATGAGAAACAGAAGATACATTTCAAAAAGTGTGTGTGTTTCGCATGAGTTCATTCAATCGAGTCTTTGTGAAGACAGTCTCTTAAACACTTTCGATTGAATCACTTTTGTTGAGAAAATCAATGTGATCAGTAAGTACATGTATCCACCAGATATTTTACTTATGTTGATGAATGATATCTAAGGAGAAGCTGTGTGATTATACATGCGATTAAAAGTGAAGTATCTATATCATCAGTGAAATGCAGACGATCAGCATTAAGAGAGATAGTCTTACTAAAGTGTACGTTGATTGTGTAGTTTAGATGCACTGATTTCATTCATAGCTAGAATGACTGAGTTGCAATAGGGTGTATTTTGCGTCCTGCTGTAGCTGATATCTTCCTAGTGATCCTCGATAGTATAGCCACAGAATACTGTCAGCCACGTCTCACGTGGTTCTGTGTTCTATTCTTGTTCATTGCACTCCTTTACCTCCTCAAGTTCTGAATAATACTGATAAATATTGAAGGTAGTACAATTGGTTAGTTAACCCATGCCGAAATATAAATACCGCTTCTACTGATACTTTGGAACTCTAGCTTGAATTCGTATGTTTTTCTTGAGACATAAAGGAATAAAATAAATAATATATCTAGCTGGTCTCTTCATGAGGAATTCAGAAAATTAGATACCAAAGGAGCTGATCTGTAACCCTCACTTGTATAAAAGATGTATGGTGGGTATTTTTATTGCTTGCAAAGCAAACTTCTCTACGTGTTGAAGTCTCAGACGATTCTTCCCTCGTAGTTCATATATATATATAGATGGAAATCTTGATAGATAGATGGTTATACATATGTAAATATCCAAGAAGAGTTAATTTTCATTCTTAAATCCCTACATGTCATTGAAAACTTTTAATGATGGGTCTCTTTAAGTAGAAGTAGAAGTCCAATAGTTCTGAAAAGCTGCTTTTAGACGTTTTCCTGCAAAATACTCGATCGCTTCAAAATACCACTCATAAATAGTGGAAAGATTAAAAAATAAGTCTCTTTTTCTGTGACCACATATTTTAGGCAGTCAGTTATACTCAATTTGGTATCCAGAAGTGATATCCTTTCGGAAGTACTAAAGAAGTCATCTATGTAAGTAAATACGGAAATGAAACACAGTTTTTGTTCAGCGAAGAAATATTTCTTTTCAGTGACTTCATTTTCAAGCTATACAGTCGTATTTATATTACGGGAAAAGGCACTAAGTGGCACTAAAATTTGCTCTGGGAATATTATACATATGATAAAAAAAAAAAAAAAAAAATTATAAGGGGGGAGCGGAATAAATTTTAATTTATTAAATAAGAGAAAATTTTTTTAAAGTGCATTTTTAAAAAAGTGGGGAAAAAAACCAAAAAGAGTGGATTAATAGGAAAAATAAAATCTGGGCAGTGGTAACTCCGGCACAGGTGGGGTTCCCTCACCACACAATATTTGGTGGCCAAATTGGCACATCACAAATTCCATCTACAAAAAGGTGGAACTAAAAAAAAAAAAAAAAAAATAAGGTAAAGAAAGGGGTTTAACAAAACCTTTTTGAACACATAATTTAGGTTTCTGTTCACGTATAGCTAGAGCTTCAGCTATGCATAAGTGGAGAAAATGTAAGCTTTTAGAGTTGTTGGATTTCGTCCTTTAAGTAACTTTGAAAGATAAATCACGTTTGGTGGTCTGAATGACCTGACTCCAGAATGAGTTCACAAATTGAAGACTTCGTCGTTCCACTCTTAATTTTCATTAACCAAACCGGATATTACACCAGAAGCATGTCCTATGCCTGTGACTTACATCTAGTATAACTGAAACGGAGTATGATTCGGTAATGCATGAAAGTCAAAAAAGGCTGCTCATGCTCAACTCACTAAGTATCTTTTTATCTTGCATGCTGTTGTTTTAGTGGTTACATTTAACATTTAAGAAGAGCTATTCGAAAAATATAAATAATCATCTTCGATTCTTAGTGATGGGGAATGAACACAGAACCATGAAATCCTTTTTTTAGAACAAAGTGTATCAAGTCGCTTAGCATCCTGAAATCGAACTTTTAGTAGTATCTACAGCGCTGAAGTCAACCACTACATGGTGTCATCATCTATACTCAGCTAAAGCGTTGGTCATACACGAATCAGAACCTAAAATCTCTACCCAAAAAGTTCTTTTAAATCTATTTTCTCTACCTCGGTTTTTATACTCTTCTCTCTATTCAAGTTCAGTTCATCATTTCATTTTTTTGCATTTTAGTTATTATTACTATGGATATAGTTTCAATCTTCTGACAGCATTTGACCCATTTCGAAATCTTTAATATCAGTGGCACAGTGTTTAGGATTCTCGCCGACCATGCACAGGGTTCCAGGTTCGATCCCCTGCCGGCGAACTCCTGATATCTATGGTCCGACTGCAAAATTTGGGCTACAGATATCCATGCTGAAAATTCCATACTTGTACCAAAAATACATTGTGGAATCAAGCTGTAATCAAAACAAAATTAAATTTAAAATAATTTGTCAAATAGCCACATCGAATTAGTGCCATCGATGAACACCTACTTCATACCTGACATGATGGGCGCCACCAGTCATCACTTCTTGTCAATAAAATTTCTACTCCTTATAAAAGAACAGCCACGGAAATGTACTGGGACAACAGAAGTATCAAAATTCCCATTATGAGAATTGTAAGTGTTCAGTTAAAATGAATACAGCTACAACATCCAAAATGTGATTTATATAGAAAAAGTAGTAATCTGTGAACTTTTATTTCTCTGGTCTATTGCTGCAGCATAATTTATGATTCAGTCATGATATAAACTGAAATCAAAAAGAGAGTGTTAATACACCAGAACACAGGGTGGGGGACTTGACTAATTCTATGCTTTTAATTTAAACTAATGTTTGATCCCCGGGATCAGTGTAATTAAGTCATTAACTTAATCGATTAGATGGATTACGGAGTACACAAAGCGCCTTAAATAAGCATTAATTGACTGATGCAGTAGAGCAAATCATATCTTATAGTCTTCAGTAGACTGAGAAGATACAACCCTTTCTTTTGGTAAACTTGAAGAAAACAAGAACAAGTGTATCAGGATGACGTGTGCTTGTTCGTTATTATTTCCTCGTTTCTTCTCAGATGGCTGCACAACCTGGAAAATACAAAAGTATTAATTATACAAAAGATTTGAACATACTTTGTACTCAATGACAAGAAGTAATTGATAGGAACTATGAGTGACGTATATCTGCGGGTGGTTCGGTTGTCGAATGCCCGCCATACATGACTCAAGTGGTTCGGGGTTCGGTTCTCAGCCGACGTACTCTTAAACCTCGCCAAGCTGATAGTAGAACCGGTAAAAAGGGAAAGTTGGGCATGAGGCTAACCACTTTATCTCGTTAAAAATAAAACCACTGCTACTAAAACTTCAAAGTTCTATCTTGAAGCCCCCTATGTTCCACTCGGAATGCCAAGGAATAAAAAGAGAAACGAGTAACATACGTCCCGAATGATATAACTTGACAAATTATTAAGGGTTAAAAAGACTGACTATTTAAAGATAGTTAGATGAATATCCTAGAAAAAGAAAGTGTTGGATTTTAAATTTTTTTCAAGCAGAAACAAAGTTATGAGAAAAAGACGTGAACAGCGATAAATCATTTTCATAAGATAACTACTACTTTGGTTTGACCTAACTTTTCTTTGTTTGTTTGATTTGACCTTACTTCTGTGTGTATGCTTATTTTTCTAACTTAAAACCCTTGTGTAATTCTGTATATTATTTTTTTCCATGTACACCCTTTGAGCACAACTCATTCATCAAACTATACATGCCATTACGTAACTCTTATTTAACAATCATTTATGACAACTCATCACTTTTGTTGCTATCCTCTTATTAACATCCAATTCATCTGAACCTACTAATTGTATTTTCGTTCGACAAATTTAATGTATACACACACACAAAATAACCATATATATTTGCGATTGTACAGCTATGAAAATGAATTCCCCTACAATTGACTCTTCGCTGAACTACTTGTCTTCTGTCTACTAATGTTCGAATGGGAATTATTCATGAATAATAAAAAGAAGCAAAATTATAGTAAGATCTTTATTCTGGCCACTGTAGGGTGAGTAAATGTTCGTGGCATTTTCGGATGTAGAGGTCTGGTTTCAGATC